TCATACAAACATTTCTGCAACCACCAAACGGCTAAAACACAAATAAAAGAGCATGTAAACAAATGGGAAGCAACGTTCCTGCTCCAGAGAATTTAAGGTGGCAGAGACTGATTTCACTGTGCAAAAACATTATGTATGTGTGCAGGTAACTCTTCAAAAACAGTGAAAGCACAAACCGTTTTAGGCATGTAAATAACGTTAAATCATTTCTGTGTTCAATACCTAACAAATTCCAGCTCTCACAGAGTCTAAGATGTGCCAGATTGTAGAACGTCTGGTCATCACTTAAAAACCTAAAACCTCTGTAACTTTGACCTGAACTCAGCAGCACAGATAACGTCCATATGTTGGTTAATTTCTGCAGTGTATTGTCTTTGTTAGGCATTTTGAGGCAAATAAAAAAAAATCTTTTTCTGTTCCATCCTCAGTGACTTTGACACTGCAGCACCTGCTGTGATGTTCATGTCTGATGAACTCTCACAACTGTTTATGTTTAATACCAAGATCGTTTACACAGTTTGTAATTGTACAGAAACACTCGATTCATTTTGGAGCAGGACCCCCAGAAATGACTCTTAGGGTTTAACAGGTAAAACAAATAAACACCACATTTCATGCTCGTGCTACAGCGTTTTGTTCTGTGCTACAAAACTAACAACCTCTGTAGCATCAGCGCTGTAAGCTAACAAACACACAGCCCTGGTTGGACCTGTTCATGAGTGCTGACACTTCAGTCTGTGCGGCATCACCTCGTTTGAAACCTTCCCAGTCAAACCATCACATTGGCTGACTGGTTTTCCTGTCATTTTCTGGACCATAAATCAAATGTGCCTTTCAGTAATAGAGCTGCTAAGCTGTGATAAGTTGCTCAAAGTATTTGTTTTGAAGGCAAAGAGAAAGAAGCCAAGTGCCCCGGAGAAACCAGCCAAGAAAGCAAAGAGTGGAGAGAGCTCCAAGCCCGGGGGCTCGTCCAAGGGCAGCGGTAACGGTGATGACAACATGTTCCAGGTGGGTGCCACGTGTGCTAGCTTTGGATTTTTGAGGTTGAAAAAATAGATTTTATTATTATTATTGACTTCTCTTAGATGTAATATGAGCATCTTATATGTTTTTAAACCTTTGGAAAATTAACTTTGAATAGTAAAAATAATTTTAGGATATTTTGGATAAACAAACCCAGGAAGATGAAAACATGACAGTCACTTTACTTCTTCAGATTGGAAAGATGAGGTATGTCAGCGTCAGAGACTTCAAGGGTAAAGTCCTCATCGACATCAGAGAGTACTGGATGAACCAAGATGGAGAGATGAAGCCGGGGAAAAAAGGTAGTTACAGAGTGAAGCAGCGGTGTGTTCATGATTGGGGTCAGTGGTGAAGATGAAGGACATGCTTATCTGAAGAAGTACGCCACGACTGGCTTATTGATGTTTTTACTGGCTTTTGCTTTAAACTCTGTTTTCATTTTCTTTAGGCATCTCCTTGAATCCCGAACAGTGGAACCAACTGAAGGACCAAATCTCGGAAATTGATGATGCCATCAAGAGAATATAAGCATTCCTTCCAGTGTTGAATCTGTTGAACTAACTGAATATGTTGGCTTTTGTAAAAAGAAGAAAAAAGCCTGGGATTGTTTTCTAACGGGTTTGTTTAATTTGTAGTTTATATATATGTAGTTGTC